GGTTCCCCTTCCCCCGCCGCCAAGGCCCCAGGGCCCTCTGGCTGGCTCGGCTGCAGTGGTGTGGTGGGTGCGGGCTGGCAGTGGGGTGTCCGGTCAGGAGACAGCCTCCCCGGTCACAGTCTGCTCGCCCTGGCCGGAGGAGTGTTGGCGGGAGCAGTGCGTGCTCCGGCGTTCCTCATGGTGTACATGATGAGAGCTTGCCCTGTTCTTGCCAGCGTTGTGGCTCCCCAGTTAACGACATCAATTGTGCTTCATCTCGTGCCTGCAGAGAACTTGTCACGAATGGCAGGCGCTGGAGTTGGTGGCCAGGGAGGCTGCTGCCTGTCCTATGCCGAGTAGGGGCCTTCCCCCCAGGCTGGTGTGACACCAGGCGCGGCAGAGGAGGTCAGCAACTGCTGGGCTGGACGACAGCAGTGAACGCCAGGTCCTGGCGTCCTGGGGCTGCAGGACATGCCAGGCGCACCTGGTCTTCCAGCCCCCTTCACCGATGTTCTCCGGCTCGGTGTGGCCAGCATGGGAGCGATGACTTCTTGCGCAGATGCTTACGTTCCCTCCTTCCCCCTGTTATCCCAGGTGGCCGTCGTAAATCACGACAAGGGGGTAGATTCAGATCCTCCTTTCCCAAAGTCCCTGCTGCTGCTGAGATGTTAGGCTGAGGGGAATGGCCAGCAACCTGCCTGCGATTGCGGCTCCTGGCTGCGCGTGGCCGTTTTCCCTCCTTCACGGCTGGTGAGAAGAGCCGGGAAGGGGGAACCTCTTTGCCCATCCCCAGGGCGCTCGCCTTCCTTCAGATTTCATTTCACAGGTTGGACTTTCTCTGCTAGTGTTGCATGGCAGGCTCACTCGCAGGAACCAGAACTCTACAGCTTGCTTCAAAGCTTGTTGATCCCGCTGTGTTTACAAGACAGGCATCCGCTGTCTCTTTGCCTTCTGGTTGCCTTTGCTGCATTGATGTGAGCTTCGCAACGGTGACTGATCACCTGTGACACGTCCTTCGGCCTGCTAGGAGCATGTCTTGGGACGGCGCGCTGAAGAAAATTGACTCTGCTGTTTCTTTAATTTTTTAAACGTCAAGTTAAAAATCACCTTTGGCTTTTTTTAGTTCCGTGAGTTTAGCTGTATTACATCAGCTCCTGTTTCATTCTGTTTGTTCATGGTGTTCTCACTGATGCTTTAGTCTTTATTTCTCATGCACTGTTAATTTTATTAGCCATGTAGATACTACTCGGCAATGTTTTACTTCCCAGCGACTTACCTGAGAGGAAATGGAGGCCCCTGAGCAGGCGCGAGGGGCCGAATAGCCTGGCTCACTTGGATTCCCGTGGTCAGATGCAGTCTCGTATTTTGTGTTCTGTTTTCTCGCCTGTTGGCTAACAAGCGGATTGCTTGCCTCTGGTGTGCTCAAGGTCTTTCAAAGGTCGCTTGTTCCCTCCGCCAATGAAGGAGCTCTTGCAATATTGGGAACTGGAGGTTGTTGTTTGCGTGCCAACAGCTTGTTTTCAAGGGTTATTTGAACTGTGGACTGGAGTGACCAGAAATCTCCCTACGGAGGGAAAACAGCTCTCAGTTGCAGCAAGGAGTTGCTGTTACTGAGTTCTGCATATGAAATGCCAGTATGATGACATTTGATGCTTCCTTGGCTTATGGCTCTGCAGTGGAATCCCCCTGCTGAGCCCTAAGCACTAGTCTATGCAAAAAAAACACAATTAATATCCTCATTTATGAAGCCATTCAAGAACCAAAATGCTGCTTGCAAAGCATGGTATGTTTGATCAACTGAAAAGTCTATAAAAGTTTTGCTTAGCAACAGGGTTTATTAATAGAAAGAAATGTGACCAGCAGAAGACTAAGTAGTGCAACAGTCTGAATCTTTGTATTTTAATCTGGATTATTACAGAAGAAACTGGTTGTTCTTTTGAAGTTTCTACTGATTCTGGAACACGTACTTACCCTGGATCACCACAGCCAGAAAGCAAGGGGCTTTGAAAACACGTTCCCATACTCCACCTAAGTATGTGTAGAATTAATGTTTAGATACTTTTGGCATTCTTTGGTATAAGGACTGCCAGATTTGAAAAACCTGCCTACTGCCTCTTCTCCTTTTTGATTGAAACTTGGCTTTCAGTGGTGATTGAGTAACTCTAGTGCTAAAACTTACATTTTCTGGAAGTTTTAAGGATTTCCTTAGTGGTAACTGTTTTGGTTTTTTTCTCCTACTTAGTAACTTGATGCTTACTTTTGCTGACTATGAAATACTGTGACTTGACTGCGCAGCAGTAAAACTATACCAGTTTAGGCTGAAACTTCACTGAAATGTTTTGTCAAAAAGTAACTTAAATTTTTGTCGTGTGAGTGACCTGTGAACCGTTATTCCAGCTGCCAACAGATTTTTGTATCATTGTTAACTTCTAATCTTTTATAACTGTTTTAGGTAGCGGGAAGTTTGAAGTCATGGCTGGAAAACCGAAACTTTACTACTTTGATGGAAGAGGCAAGATGGAGTCAATTCGCTGGTTGTTGGCTGCAGCTGGGGTTGAGGTTTGTTCCAGTGGTTTTAATTTTAAGCTGCACGCTCGTCAGCTCGTCTTTGAGGCAGATCACAGGTTATTAACCAAAAAAGAAAAGACATCCCAAGGCGCAATAGTAAATGAGCATTGGCTGTTCAGTATAATTAAACACTCTTTAGGCACACAAAAGTATGGCTTCAGGTTACATGTCTTCTGAGCAATGAGCTGTAAACCAGTTTCTTGCTTAATGCAAGAATGCGTAATGTTTAATTAAGCATTTGCTTACTGGCCCAGAGCTGTTGAGTGGAATAATAGATGTGTTCCTCGCATAAAGAGTATTACCTGGGCCAAGTAAAACAGCAGTGAATTTACTTTCTCTAGTCTTTCTATTTTCAGTTGGATGCTCACACACAGATTTTTATTTTATTTTTCACTCCACTGGCTGCATCCTCCACAGTAAGCTGTAGCACGAAATATATTTTGTCTAGCTTGCATTGTTTAGATGCAGCTTAAACAGGGTGAAGTGAGCAAACTGACCCACATGTGTAGCAAAATTAGAAGTCTCAGAGCAGGAAGAAAATATTTGGGTAACTCAGAGAAGCTTTAAATTTTTTTTTTTTAGTGGGTTATAATGTACTTACTTATCTGCTATCTAGCTTGGCGATAAACTGATAATTCAGTCTGAGGACAGAAGGGACTGGGAGTTGCTCCGAGTCTCTTCTTTTATGTAGTATGCTGTTAAACTTCGTACAGTTACCCCTCTACTGAGGAATACAAATTTTTCAAAAAGACCACCAGTCTTTGTTTGAAGGCCTTACAGAGGACACAACTGGCTGCTTCCCTGCATCGTTTGTTCCTTGTTTTAATTCCCTCTCTCTTTTCTTTCTTTTTTTTTTAATTAAAAAAAAAACCCTGTTGACAGGTACCAATTATATTTTTTCCTTGGGATAGTCTTCCAGCTTTTCATCAGCAGAAACATGGGTTCTGAATTTTAGACTCTGTGATCACACTTACTATGGTCGAATATTGGCACTGTGTTAGTATGGCTGCTCTTCTGAGGTGTCCCTACGTATAGCAAGTCTTAATTATTAACATCAGTTGCACAGATGTTCTGAGAGAGGTTGACTGAGGAAGGATCCTTGGGAACCCATGTCTAGACATCTAGGGGTTGATAAGCCTAATCATTTTCTAGTCTCCGTGGTCTACGTTGACTAAAGACATGTATGCCACATGCAAACACGTGCATGTAGACATCTAACTTCGGTGTCTTAATCTTGAACTGAATTTCACCATAAGTAGCACTGATTGGACCAGGCTTCCTCAACCACACTGAATATAGCTACATCGTTCTGAACACAGACAAGTCTGTATCTTTTTGTTTTTCTCATCTAGTGAATAATTAATCTTTAGGTGTCCTAAACATGCTTCTGTACTAAACTTCCTGCTGGGCATAATACTTCTACATTATTTTGTAAATTTTTTGTTTTAACTTTCTAAGAATTTGTTCCTATCTAGGTCCCAAATCAAAATATCCCACAGCAGAGCTTTTTTCCAGGTACCAGGAAGCATTTTAAGGGCAGCCTAGTCTGTATTGTTGACTGTCTTGCATCAAATTGCTTGTTCAATGCCAAACAAACCATCCTCACTCCAGTTCTTATTGCCTGTTTTTCTGCTATGGTTGCCTTCAGCAGCATTTGCCAAATATGGCAGTCCAAGAGGTTTTGCCAGTGCTACTGCCCTTGGTTATTTTCTCCCTTAGAGCTGTATCTGGAACGGAAGGAATGATGATGTGTGTTCTCTTCCTTTTACAGTGCTTAAAAAGTTTTTCTAGAAATGTGAAAAAACACTCATTTCCTGTTCTTCCTCATTCTCTTTTGTCAGTTTGAAGAAGAGTTTTTGGAAACCCGAGAGCAGTATGAGAAGCTCCTGAAAGGTGAGTCCACGTGAAACCTCAAGAAAAGTGTGACCAGAGTTTGCTTGGTCTGAGAGAAGATGTGTGAAGTGAAGACTCTGAAGACTGTGTGGGACTTTCTTTCCACACAGCAGAGAGGGAAGTAAAACCGAGAGCTGTGAACAGCTGCAGAGGCTGTTTTTTTTTCCCATATGTGGACAGATGCAATTGAAAATTGAATGTCTTTCTAACCTGGAGATTTTCCTAGGCCTCCCTCTGGGTTATTCTGTTCTCCATTTGTCTACGTGTCCCACCTGGTCCCACAGACTTACCCAGAGCACTTCAGTAACTTGAAAAACACATATCCTAAAACTTCATTGAATGTCCAGATTTAGCTGAAGATACTGGTTAGAAGAGAGAAATTTGGGAAACTGACACTGGCTCCAACTGTGTTTTAAATAATGGAACAGAATTTTAAAAATGTATTTACAATTAGACACTTTTTACTCAGTTGATATGCTTAGTACGATTGTCTCCACTGTATTTCCATTTCAGCATAAAAGCTGCTGTAATCAGTCCTGACTGCAACTTGAGTGAAACTTTTTTAAAGCAAGGATGTTAATGCACAATAATTTTGTTCTGCAGTTTAATTTGTCTTCACCACTGTAATTTATTGTTTGTGTGGAAGAACCCTAGTGTAATGTAATGACTACCCACAGCAAGCTCACCATAAAAGCAGTGATCTTCTGAAGACAGCAAGACTTCAGACATGGAGTTACTAGATCCAGCAGAACAATGTGTGGCTTTCCCTTTAGGTGGATCCTTGCTTTTCCAGCAAGTGCCCATGGTGGAGATCGATGGGATGAAGATGGTGCAGACCAGAGCCATCCTCAGCTACATAGCAGCAAAGCACAACCTCTACGGGAAGGACCTGAAGGAGAGAGCCCTGTACTGTAACAGTACTACTCTTCTTGAATTTATTACAGCGGCTTAGATACATCTAGAATTAATTGCATACTTGCACATGCAGAGAAGGGGTTTACCTTTAGGTACCTGTGAGCCTCAGTGTCACACAACTTGCAGTGAGCCTGGCAGGCCACAGGTAGATGCAAGCCAACTGATTTGTTCCAAGTCGATTATTTTTACAGAAAAATATATGAGGCAGGAGTTTATGTTTATTGTGCTTTAGTAAAAGATTAATACAACTTGACATAGGTATTTGAGAGGTGACGCTCTTTTGTAAACAGAGAATTTTTGGAAAGCAATAGTTAGTTTTTAACTTTTGGCTGCAAAACAAGGTCGGTCATTGATGTTATCAACGATTGCATGATGTTCCACAGCATTGTAGAAAGTGCATGGTTTAGGTTTTTAGGAGTTGGGGAAAGAAAAGCTAAAAGCTGTTGGAAAAAATTCTGGTTTCACGTGGAATTAAATCCGGGTCTTGATGTTCTGTCTGTGTGACGGAAAAAAATGTGATTGGGCTATCTCAACATGTAGCCTTTAAATGTGCATTTCTTATTGTTTTTTAAGAGAAGGAAAACGGAAGGTCTAGTAAAGCATCTAACTTTAATAGGTACTTTACAATAAACTGCCATTAAATGGTGCAAGTGGTTGGAAGAATTGGCTGAAGCCGGTTCAGAGAAGTAGCAAAACGAATGAATATTCAGGCAGGAGCCTCAGTCATAGCTTATCAGCTTCTCTGTGTTGTTAATAAGCCACCATTTCCTGTAGCTTGCATGCCTTGCATACCTCTTCCTTCAAACAGAATTCTCCTCGGTGGAGTTTCAGATTTAGCTTGGAGCCTGTTCCTGCTGTCTTACCAGCAAATACAAATGAAGTGTATCTGTTGATTTGTGCTAGGGCAGGGGGAAGGAACCATCAGTGTTTGGAGGAAGGTTAGCTCCGGCTTTAAGTACTGTGGGTGGCGGGTCTTGTACAGTGTGGGAGTGCAGTTTTGGAAGACCAGATAGATGCAGGCAAGAAGCTGGCGTATGTTAAGGCTCGCAGGAATATCTGATAGCTTCTTATTGCACATAACATGTTTAATCCTTGCAGAGGCTTTTTGAAGTGGCTGTTGCCTGAAGACAAAAACTGCAGTTAGTCTTGTTACACAGCAGGAGCTCAAATCTCTTGTGACATAGGATGGTTAGAAGACTTTGCTAGCCTAGTTTACCATATATTTATTCATATTCATGAGGACTTAATTTAAATTTGAGTCTTGTCTACAGTCAAAGCCTGTGGTCAGAGCTCTGGAAAAATGGATAAAAGGGATGATCTGAAGAACTGCTGTACTAATTATTTAGCTAGATGCGGAACCTGGTACACTTCAGGTTTCCAATCCCGTTATTAACCTGTTTGGCACCACTTGGACTTTGGATGAAACCCTAAAGGTGGGATACATCCAGATGATTAAGCCAGTTTGGGATGACTCGTCTGGTGGTGCTGTGTGTCCCTCTGGTGATTCTGAAGTGATCTGTAACACCAAAGTTAAACTTTTTTAACTTTCGTACAATCCTGTTTAATCCTGCACAATGAGGCAAGTATAGTGCCAACAACACTACAATTATGAGTGAGACTCAGACTGTGACGTATTTGGTTTTTTAACTGCAAAAATAATTTTCATGAGGGGGATGGGAATTTCAACTTTTATGATCACAACACAAATCTAAGAATACTTTGATTATGAAAGTGCCTTCTTATTTAAGGTTTTTGTTTACTTTGGTTTTAAGGATTGATATGTATGTTGGAGGAACTGATGACCTTATGGGCTTCATTTTGATGTTCCCATTCTTATCGGCTGAGGATAAAGAGAAACAACGCGCTGTTATAGTTCAAAAGGCGACAAGCAGGTATTTCCCAGCATATGAAAAGGTATGCAGGAGGATCATTTCCTACCATTGTTCTGGGAGGATAACAATGGGAACACTGGGTATTTTACCAAAAGCAGAAGAAATAGGAAGGTGTCAGCACAGTAGTTTAAACCAGGACACCATGCTGCCTGCAGACTGGAAAGATGAGAGGGAGGTCAGAGCAGTATGAGAACAGGTTGGGGTGGGTTAAGTGCAGAAATTCTGAAGTGAGATTTCATGGTCTGAGCAGCATCAAAGTTCAGACTGAAGAGTCCAAGTGTCCCCTTTGGCTTAAAACTGTTACGATCCAATGAATGTGTAAAGATAGCGATGTACGGTTGAACCAGCAACTTCCTGTTGTTAGGAGAAATGAAACTGTGTAACTTGCATTGCAAAGGCAATGCCATTTTAGAATAGCTAACTGTCAGCTTTTTTTAACATTTCAAATACATTTACACATTTTTTGTTTAACGATGGTAATACACAGCTATCACTGCTGTCTTCTAGTCCAAGTGGTCTGCTGCTTAAGCCATACTGGTGTTTTTCTAACTTATCCTTGGAGAGATAGGACCCAAGAGGTGCTCTCAATGGAAATTAATATACATAGACAGGGTGATCTGGCAAAAATAACTGCTTTTCTGTTGCAAAGACTAAAGGGAAGTTTCCCACTTAGATACCAACGCTCCTGTAGATGCCTACCAGAGTTCATTCTGCCCTAGATTCCACTTGTTGCATCCTAGCCCCAATGCTTTAGGCTGATCACCTCTTGTTTACATTCTCTATTTTCCCACTGAAGCTGTAACTACATACAGAAATATTCAAGGTTTATTAGGCTGGAAAGCAGTGAATACCAAGGAGGTCTCTGACTCTGTAGTCTAGTACTTAGGGGTTACCTGGGGCTATAGGAGCGAAGGATGGGTAAGAAACCCTGGGATTCTAGATTCTAGATTGCCGCTGTGAGGACTGCTCATAGATATCCCGTAAAATGATCAGTGACTGCAGGCACTGGGCCCACATCCCCCAGACTAGCAGTAGGTAGTATCCCTAGTTGCATGAGAGAGAAAGGTGAAGAGGAGGCAGTAAGCATTGTCAAAGAAAGCGTTCCTGTGCATTTTGAAAACATGAAGCCCAGCTGGATATCCACATTTGAACATTTTCATTTATGACACTTATAGGTTTTGAAAGACCATGGGCAGGACTTTCTTGTTGGCAACAATTTTAGCTGGGCAGATGTTCATCTTCTTGAAGCCATTTTAATGGTAGAAGAGAAGAAGTCGGACATGCTCTCAGGCTTTCCTCAGTTACAGGTACCTTACACGAACAATACACTCATATGGCTGGAAATGTGATAAATGGTGTTTCAAAGTCTGTTGTATGTAGATAATTCCACAAAACGAGCATTTATCACTCCTTTTCTGTTGTAATCTTGCCCTTCTTGCTTTAGGAAGAACCTCATAATATGTTTCGTCTAGGGAATCTATTATTTGCTGGAGTAATCCCTGTACAGATCCGAAGAAATCCACCATCCCTTTGTTTTGCCCTCCCCTCACCAGTTCTGTGATACCTTTAAGCAGAAGATATTTTCTGGATCACAAGAAGTGATTTGAGTAAAGTACACATCTGAAACCACAGATAACTGTTTCCACTTCATTCCATAGTGATACAAGACAGGGGACTGTTTTATTACTGTTTAAAATAACAAGGTTGGAGTGAGGGCGACTAAAACTCAGCCATGGCTAAAACTGTATTTTCTGTCTTGCCTCCATACACAACTTGTTAAAGGATGTTACACAAATCAGTAAGATTGTTTGTTTTTTCTTGTGTTACTTTCTGTTCTTTAAATACCATGTACTTACTGTTTACCTTTTAGGCATTTAAAGCAAGAATAAGCAGCATCCCCACAATCAAGAAATTTCTGGAGCCGGGAAGCCAGAGAAAACCTGTTCCTGATGATAAATATGTGGAGACTGTGAGGAGAGTTCTCCGTATGTATTATGACATAAAAGCGAATTAGTGTGCCTGGCTAAAACAACAGCTGTGCTCGGTTTGAGAGAACCATCAACTTGCACGTGTACAATTAAACTGCAGAGAGAAGGTGAAGGGGTACTCGAAAGCACTTTCAATGGGCAGTATCTCATGTTCTCTCATAAAAAATACGGTAGGCCAGGTATCTTTTATAACGCTTTACTACTAGTATATGTTTTCCTCCATTCTTCTTGATATTTTTCTGGTAATTTTAAGCAAGTGCAATGGCAGCAAGCATGCTATCTTCCTGGAGAATTTTTGGAAGAGGGGAAAGCAAAAGAAAAGAAAGAAGTGTGAGCTGCTGACTGACAGCTTCAGCTTCTGCTACTTCTGAGGACTTTCTTCTGAGGTCCAGATCAGATTTTTTGTATGATGATTGCTTCCGATGCAGGCCTTTACTGCTTTTAATATCACTGTAGGCAAATGAAACAGGTGGCTTTTAAAGAAAGTAGGAGGGAGGGAGGTGTTTCTCTTGCCAGTTCTATTGGAAATTAGTGACTTGTCTGAAATGTCAGCATTGTGCCTTTATTAATTACTGAATTAGGAAACTTACGGACTGACAAATGGCATCTTTGTGTAAGTGCTGTATCTAGAAGATCTGTTCTAATCAAATAAACTTTTTATTGTTATAATGGTCATGTTGTCATGTTGGTTCATGAATGAAAGTTTGGGCTTGCAAACTTCATTTTTACTTTTCGTGGAGGATAAATTCTTTATACTTTATACAAAGGGGATCCTCATGCCTCATGAAAAGGCATTTCATTTGCCTTTGTAAACCAGAGGAGCGAGATGTGAAGGGGAGGTAGTAAACCATCACACGAACCTAGTACAGCTCCTATCTAAGGTCTAATACCTGCTAAACTCAAAATGCTATTTCTTTTTCTTTTTTTTTTTTTTAATTTATGGTTTCAGCAGATGACTTGACAAAGGAATTTCAGATATTTTTAATCACTTTGATAAATGGCACTTATTCTTTGAAAAGCTGCTCTGTAGGATGTTATCTTGGGGTTTCATATCTGTTATTTATAGTTCTATGTTAATGATAAAGTTTACAAGAAAAGACTTGTGCTCAATCCCTAATGGCATTGTTTAATTCCAGTGTTGGCTATGGGTTGACAAATAAGACGCTGCTTGACCTTGGAATGCAGTAAATATGCTTGTCTGATATTTGATGAATGAGTTGCCCACTTGAGAGGTCATCAATCTCTCCAGCTTCAGTGAGACTGAAGTTCTCAGTGAATACTTCTCCGTCATTGCCAGGAATACAAGGTTTATATTGACCTACACTGGCTTATCTATCACCTGCCTTGCTAATGTTAGTTGCAATTACAGTTTAGTCCTTGGTTTAATCTCAGACTGGTTTAATGTGAAAGTTTGGAAGACCCTGTAGCTGTTGATCTTAATTCCTTTGCTAAGTGAACTTTTTCTCCAGAATATGAGGAAAATTGTGGTGTAATGCCATTCAAACAGATGTTCCACAAGCAAAGATGCAGAAGATATAGGAGGTGACCGTCTGCTGGTATCTGTTGGCGATAAGCCTAAAAGCTGATGGTCGTGCCTTTTAGTGAATAGGGTGGCACAGTAGCAGTGAATGTGAGCAGAAGAACAGTTGGTACTGAAACCTTGTCATCAACACTGTGTGTGTTTGAGGATGGGGTTACTTCAGCCTAGCTCAAGAGTGGTTGTGTGGGCTGAATGATGTTCGAGCTGTATTTGGTGCACTCTTGGAGCACATCTTTCAGTTTAATCCAGAAAGAGTCTGGTTTGTATGCTCCGTCACACTGTGATGGGAGCCAAAGCACAGTTAAGAAATTAGTTTTAAAAACATGCTCCTGTTCCAGACCACTAATATAGACACACCCTGTAATGCTCCAGAGCTGGCCCAGCTGATGGGTTAATGCCGTGAAAAGCCGGAGTTGAAGACTCAATAGTCAGAAGACTATTAAGTAGGTCTTCTTTATTGCAGTGCTGGAGACACAGGGGATTTCTCCTCCAATTGTGTGTGTCTGTTCAGGTTAAATGCATAGCTTATATACAAGTTTTATATACATATTCATCAGAGTCCCGAGAAAAGAGTTACATGTTCATTATTTTTCCAGTAACTCATTATCATATGCTAATGTTCCTTCATGCATGCTGGTTTATGCCCCCAGGTGGTCGTCGGGGGTCTCTGGATGAAGGATATACTCTTCCTCACAGTGTGTGCTGATTGACCTCCGCTCTTGCGCATGCTCAGTTCCCCCCCCCCCCCCCCCCCCAAAGCAGCAAGTCAAGCTCATCTAAGTAGTGTTATTTAGGAGCCTCTTTATCTTAGAACTTTCCTGTCTTCTCAAAACAGCAAGGTTCTACTTTAGTTTAATTACAATCACTCTAGTAAGTGGAATTTTACATTTACATATGTAAATCCCTCCTTTTGTGGATTTGTAGCTAGAAAGTTACGAATCCTCACTATTGTGTATTGTAGGTATTATTTTCAAATTTCTTCAGCCTTTCATTCTAAGGGTCCAGGAAAAGTATTTTCCGGTTTCTATACGGTGTCTAACCTTGTTCCTTTTCCAATCACTGTGTGTCTGAGCTGAATCCTGACAACTCCAAAGGAAACATTTGAGAGATATGCAAACAAGTATTCCTAAAACCATCAGAGTGATTAATCCCATGAACAATTGTTTTAACCATTCTAAATTAGGGAGCCGAGAGGTCACTTTATCCCATAAATCTCAAAACCCCAAGGAAGTATTATCCAAAGAAACTTCATGGAATACTCATGTTTTCTCCCAGAGCGCATTCAAATCTGCTTCTATCTGTCTGTCTTCATTGATATATGCACAGCATCTGGTATTAATGATCATACATACTCCCCCTTCTTTGGTGGTCAATAAATCTATTGACATTTGATTCTGTAGCACAACTTTACTAAGGGATGATACTTCCATCTGTAAATTTTCCATAGTATCTATTGTTAGATTTTCCATATTCTCTAAAACCATGGAAATGTTTATTATGGCTTTCTCTAGCTCACTGACTCATAGCCACGGCAAGAACCATCTGACAAAACTATGAAATTTTATTCCCCTACTTACAAGTGGGTTGTCTTCCCGTTTGGCTTGTCTCCATGATGTTCTTAATGTACCTTTAGGTATTTGGGACTGGTTGTATATTCCGTCCTGACTAACTAGGTGACCTATGGTACACATTCCCTTCCAACCCACAGGGAGTCGCTTTCTTCTAATACCATCGCCGCATAGCCACCAATACCCATCGGGTAATTTACAGGGCCCGTCAGTGGCTGTGAGATTAGCTCCATAAAATGTTCTGTGGTTTACTCAGCCAATTGATACATTCCTAAAATAATCCCAGTTTGAGAGGCTATAGGTTTTTAATTGAGTTCTATTACAAAAATACATATATGTCACACCTGTCCTTTTCAAATCCCAAGTTCCTGCCAGCCAATTGATACATTCCTAAAATAATCCCAGTTTGAGAGGCTATAGGTTTTTAATTGAGTTCTATTACAAAAATACATATATGTCACACCTGTCCTTTTCAAATCCCAAGTTCCTGCCTCTACTGTAGTTTTGTTGATCCAATAATCATTCCACCAATCCCTGCAAGTACAATTTTTGCGTGTGTAGAAGGGGGGTCGGCACGAACAAGTGTTGGATCTTCCTTTCCATAGGCAACTATTGTTGCTAACCAATATCTGGGTGTCATTGTTTAATATCTGTAGGTCAAATTTTGGCCCAGTCACCTAGCTTGAGTTGTTGTAATCACAGGATCCTCTGTCGTGTCTTTTCCAAAACTCGGGCCAAGTATTATTGTCACAATTCCAATGAGTGGATCCTACCCCATACAAAGGGAGTCTCATGTTACCTTTTGGTAAGGCAGTACAAATCCAACAATCCTTAGCTCCCGTGGTGTTCGCTATCATCTGAATTGCATTATAAGTTCTCACTCCAAATGTTCAGTGATAAGCCTAGGTTTAACAAAGTTACCACTCTAATTGTAGTTTCAAACTGCCAGCCTTTTTGATGATCCATCCTGGTTTAGGAGCCTTCTTCACTCGAGAATGATGGATCCAGGTTGGTTGTTTTCAAATCTTGATTGTGGTGAAAGTGGTCAGCAATACCTGGTAAGGTCCATTCCACTTCTCTCTCAGTGGATCACCTGAAAAATTCTTAACATAAACCCAATCTCCAGGGCTAAAAGGATGGATTGGGTGATCTAAGCCTTTAGCCCTGGTACCCAAAACATTTTACTAACTTTTTCTAATTGTTTTCCTAAGGATATAACATAAGTCTGTAGACACTGATTTCCCAACTGGTTCAAATCTTCCCCTTGATATTTAGCCTGATAGTATCTCAAAAAAGCTCAAATTTTCTTTGGTCCTAGGTTTTACACATAGCCAAAGTAGTGCAATAGGTAATGCTTGGTACCAATATAGATTCACTTCTTGGCACATTTTTGCTATCTTTTATTTAATCATGTGGTTCATTTTTTCTACTTGCCCACTGGCTTGTGGTCTGTAGGGCGTATGTAGCTGCCAATCGATTCCTGATAGTTTGCCGACCTGTTGCACTACTTCTGCACAAAAATGTGTCCCCCCATCTGAGGAGATAATTGTCGGCACCCCAAATTGAGGTATTATTTCATTTAGTAATACCTGAGTTCCTTCCCTTGCTTTGTTTGTTCTACAAGGGAATGCTTCCGGCCAACTTGAAAAGGTGTCAGTAAGTACTAATAAGTACCTGTACCCTCCTTTTCTTGGAAGTTCAGAGAAATCAATTTGCCAGTGGTCTCCCGGTACACCCCCCTTCCCAATACTTCGTAATTGTACCCAGTTACCTGTATTGGGGTTATTTTTTAAACATGTTTCACATTGTTGGGTTACTTGTCAGACTGTAGTATACAAATTTTTCCCTATTAATTTCTGATTTTAAAATTTATACAGAGAGACTGCTCCCCAGAGTGTCCTATTGTGTTCTTCTCTAACCACCCCACAT